CGGGCCGGCCCACCTTGGGAACGGGGGGGCGCTTCCGGGGCTGAACTGCCTTTGGGGTTTAAGCGGTGAAGCCCCCCCCCCCCCCCCCCCCTTCCTGCGCCGCTCTCAGCCTCTGTACGTGATGGACGAGATCGACGCGGCCCTCGACTTCCGCAACGTGTCCATCGTCGGCAACTACATCAAGGAGCGGACGCGCAACGCCCAGTTCGTCATCATCTCGCTGCGCAACAACATGTTCGAGCTGGCCGACCGGCGAGCGTCGCCGAGATTCGCCGAGATTCGCCGAGATTCGCCGAGATTGGGCATTGGCTATCGAGCAGCGAACACCTCCGAGACACTTCCCGCCCGCCCCGCCTGTGGCTCCTCCCCAACACGCCTGCCGACGCCTCCTCCGCCACTCTGCTCGCGCCGCCGCGCCCTCGCCCCGCCCGCTGGCACGCCCGCCCACTGACACATCCAGCTCACACGTCCAGCTCACACGTCCAGCTCACACGTCCAACTGACGCTGTCCGCAGGCTGGTCGGCATCTACAAGACCAAGGACTGCACCAAGAGCGTCGCGATCAACCCGGGCGCCTTCACGATCAGCGCGCGGGCCTAGGAGAACCGCCGCCGGCGCTGCCCACCGCGCTCTCCCCTCTCCCCCGCCCCCCCCCCGCCCCCCCAGGTTCGCCGCCCCCCGGACTCCCTGCGGGCGGGTCGGTGCTGCGAGGCATCCGCGCGCGAGACTAGGCCGCGGTGGGCGACGTGGAGTCGCACTGCTCGCGGCGCCGTGTGAGATCGCGGCGCCGCTCCTGCGGCGGGCGCGCGGAAACGTGCCGCGGGACAGCTCTCGACTCATGCTTACAATGTCGTCCGTCTCGAAAACTCTCCTGTTGAGGACGTGCATGGACCTTTTGGGGGTTTCGCCCCACTTCTCGCCGTGTGTGACGTGTGACTGAGTGAAGAGTGGACACCATGTCTGTCTGTCTCCTGGGGTGAATTCAGTGATGGCCATTTACTGGTAAAAGAGTGGTATTTACCACTTATTTGATTCTCCTGGGGAGTGGTATCTGGTATGGTATGAGCAGAGAGTGGTATGGTAAATTACGAAACTCAATGTGGAATCATCAATTTTTCGGGATCTGAGCCGAGTCTAGAGGCTGGTTTGCGGCCAAATTCAGCCAAATTGGCAATAATACCGGGTATTTTGCGGGTATGTATGTAACTGTAGGGACGATTTAGGTTTGGGGCAGCGCGAGTGGGAGAACTTTTCGGCGGTCGTGGAGGTCGTGGAGGTCGTTGAGTGGCGAGTCACGCTCGTGCGGACAGCATCGATGCCGTCGCCGGACGCGGCGGCGAGGCACACGGGCGCCGGCGTGGCGCGTCGGCAGGCCCACCACGAGCGGATGCGCGACGAGCGCGCTCGGGAAGCGGCCGCGGGCGAGGCGGAGCTTCCGCCGGAGGACGACGCGGTCGAGATGGCGAGCGCCGTCCACGTGCTGGACAGCGTGGGGGAGGTGGGCCCGAACTACACCCTGCTGCGCAGCAAGGAGACGAAGGCGAAGCGGCGGAAGCGAAAGCGCGAGGATGCCAGGGCGGCGCTCGACGGCCACACTGTCCTGTCCACCGGATCGCGCCTCGAGATCTTCTGCGACAGCTACCTGGGAAAACCCGGGTATACCTGGAAAATACCGGGCATTTTGCCGATTTCTCCGATTTTTGTCCGAGATTTTGCCTCAGAAGTCGTGGTAAATCTTACCACAATTTGATTGTTTTGGCCGTAGAGTGTTTGATTGTTCTGGGGGGCTATACCAGTAAATGGCCATCACTGGGTGAATTGTAAACTAGTACGGCTCTAACTACGCCGAGGATTCTGCCCCACACAGCCCCTTACCCCTTCACCCTCGCCTCGCTGCTTGGTGTTTCTGAACACGTAGACGACCACGCTGTGGGGATTGTGTGCGGGTTGTGTCTGGGAGGGAGGGAGTGGGGTGCAGGTTGCTCACCCACGGCACCGGGCCGGTGCTTGCACTTTGAATGCCGTGGGGCTCCTGCCCGTGTCCCGGGCGTGGAGATGCGAGGGTCGCCCCCCCTTGCCCCACCACTTTGTGTGTGTGGAGACGTTTACCTTACCTACCTTACCTTACCTACGCCGAGGACATGCACTCGGCCCGGAGGGCCGGGTAGGAGGGGTCTAGGTTACCTCTACCTCTGAGGGCCTGCGGCCCTCTTACCTTTACCTCTGTGGGCAGCCGTGGGCCCTTTACCTCTACCTCTGAGCGACGCGTAGTCGTAGCCGTGATCTTTACCTGTGGCTGTGCGTGATCTCGCACCTCGAGGATCTCTCTCTCGCCGCGCGAGGCGAGACAGTGTAGATCTCTCTCTCGACGTGGTCTCGAGTGATCTCGAGATGTTGAGATCTATCGATACAACATAATCTGCGATTTTCACTCGCCGAGAAGGGAACATAAAATGCGCAGCCGCACCCCCGGGCTCGGCCCGGCCCGCGACGGCTGGCCGCCGACGAGCGCGCGCGCTGCTCGTCAAAATGGCGGCGGTGGCGATTGCGGCGACGGTCGTTCAGTCGTACAGCGCTCAGGCGTCTGTCGTCTGTCGTCTGTTGTCACATTTCGCACACGCGCGCGCCGCGCGACCCGCGTCGCTCCGCGAGGGCATGAGCCTTCCGCGATTCGATCCCGCAGCCAAAAGCTGCTCGCTCGAACCGCGGCCGACTCTACCATCGCGGCCGCAGCTGTCGAGCTCTCCAGAGGACTGGTGCCTCATATGCTGCCTCCCTGCGGATGCTGCCGGCGAGCCTGGCGGTCCGCTGTACTACAAGGAAGTGTTGACTTATTCTACCTCGAATTCTCCTACCCCCACGACTCGGAACGCGAATGTGACAGGACCATCGGGTCCTTCAGCCACCAAAGTGAGAGCACCCGAGAGCAGCTGAGCCTGCCTCTGGCCTCGCCTGCCTCTCCTTCAGGCATTCGTGGCATCCTATGGGTCGTCCAGAGTATCGACCTCTGGCGAGTCAGCCAGCCCCACTTTGAGGGCGCCATGAAGTACAGCGATCGCCACCTCGCTGGTCTCTCCGCAAGGCCCCCCGACCGCGTCGAACTCATCGGCGCGGGCTCTCTCGGCTACACGGGACCGGCCCCAGCTTCGGCTGAGGGCTGACAAGCTGCCGAGCCCAAATCACTGTGAGAGTCGTGATTTCTTGTTGGTTTTCTAAAATCTCTCTCTTGATCCGGCGCTTCCTTTTCGTTTGGACGGACGAAATGATCGCGGAAAAGCGGGACCGCATCGCGACATCGGGGGTTCACCATATGCCGAGCCTGCTCGGCCTGCCATGCGCGCGCGCGCGCCTCGCCCGAGCGCAGCCACCTGCGGACCTGGCCAGCCTGTTCCTGGCTCGTGCCCAGCCTCTCCTTCCGCTGCCGCCGGCCTCGCAGTCCCGCCTGCCATCACGCTGCAGAGCCTGCGTAGACGCCACAGTACAGACGCCAATTCTGCAGCCCACAGCCCTGGCAACTGAGGGCGAGGGCCAGCAGTATACGACGACGACGACATCTCACTCCCCGCGCTGGCCAGCGCCATCAGCCCCTCACGGCCCGGCCCAACCTCCCTTCGCCTCGCCTCCAGTGCCTCCAATCAAGTCGGACCTCTCTAGCTTCTTCAAGCGAATGCAGCGGCAGCACCACGTCAGAGGCCGGGCCGACTGGCGGACCTGCATGCCCAGCCATGCCCCCCACTCCCCACCCGCTTGGATCGATCAGCTGACAGCTCCACCAGCTCCCACCACCGCGTGTCGTGTCATGAAGCACGATGAAATAGACATAGAAAGCATGAATTGGCCAGCACACATGTTTCCGGAAACCAAAAAGGAAACGAGAGGGCCCCCAGCACTTTTCGTTTCCGGAAATTTCCAGGGAAACCAGAGGGTGTTTGGAGCTCCATTCTGGCAACTCTCGAGTTTCCCTGAGTCTGAGAGCTGGTCTGGGGCAAAATCTGAGGCGAAACCGAGGAAACCGACGTACAGATGTACCTGTTCGAAACCTTCGGCGGGTGGTGCAACGCGGCCAAGCGGCTGTTCTACCAGATGAAGGACAAGGTGCGCAACAAGCTCTCGAAGCGGCAGCACGAGGACGAGGCGAGCTGGTCGACGCGGTCGTGGCTGTCGCTGCAGGCCCAGCGCATGTCAGTCCCGCCCGCTCGAAGCTGTGGCGGCGCAGGCTGCCACCGCTGCCCGGGCGCGCCGAGCGGCGGCGGAGGGCCGCCCAGGCCACCACCAGTGCCTCTCCCACCGGCGGCGCGGCGGCAGCGGCGCCGACCGCCCCTCCATCAGCGGCGGCGCGAGGCTGTCGTCGGGACGCCGGCAGGTGACGCGCGAATAGGGTGCCACCGGACCGGCCGACGAGCACCCAGCGGAGCCGTCATCGTGCATGGCGAGTTGAGCACCGCCGCGTCGCTTGTCGGCGCATTGGAGAGCAGAGGAAGCTGCTGGCGTCGCGGCTGGGATCGGCAGCGGCGCCAGCAGCTTTCTCGGATCTGAAGCGACTTTGAGCGCCGATCGATCGATCTGAGGGCTGACCGATGGGTGGCGCTGGGAGCAAGACCGCGCCACCCGTCGGCCAGCCAGCTCCGCGACGGCGACTCGATAGTCGTGGCCGGCGCTCGGCTGCCACTCTAAGCTGTGCCGCCAGCGCTCCTGGAACCGTGACGTCACTTCTTATGGATGCGGCACTAGGGACGCCCAATGTTTTCGTAAATATAGAAGCCACTCTCTCGCATGTGGAAGCCACGACTGCGTAGTGCTCCCCCGGAGCACGCCATAGAGCCGCGCCGGTTGTGTACCGCGCACCCCCGCAGCCGTACGGGGTGTGGACCGTGAGTTGACCAGGGGTTGTGCGCCTGGCCCTCCTGCTCGGCTCCAGCCAGTAGACAAGTCTTGTCACTAACAGAGTAGAAGGATCTGACCTCAGGGCCGATGTGATCAAGCGCTGGTAGCGTGGTTTAACCTCACACCCATGGTCTCACAGTGTGCCGGCAGTCGCCGAGCAGTGTCGCTCACACAAGCCGCAGCACAAGTGACTGAGGGCCAGTGAGGGCGAGCCCATCGCTGTCACAGCTGTGGTAGCCGCACAGTAGGCTGTGTCAACTGTGCAGAGCGTGTGAGCAGCCGAGGAGCTGCTCTCCAGGCTTCTGACGCAAAGAGCTGCATGCCATCGAAGGCGCTGTCGAGGTTCGCCGAGCGCGGCGCAGGTTGGAGGACACCGTCACCGACGAGCGCGTTGGAGTATTCACTCCGGACAAAGACGGCTACACGCACACGAGCCGCGGTCGTGTAGCCGTCATAGCGGCGAGGCGCGGGACCGTCTGTGGCGAAGTGGGTCGCGTCCTCCGATTTCCTCAACTCACGGTCCGCTCCCTCTAGCCGCACGACACGCACACACCCACACCGCACCGCACTTCCGCGCCCGCGCGCCCCCCCTGGGTCGCCGTAACCCATACCGCAGCCTGGAGGGGCGGGCGGAGGGGCGGGCGGTGGGGCGACCGACTGGCGGCGCGTCCCGCCAGGAGTGAGGGGCGGCGCGATCCCGAAGCTGATCGTGCAGACGTACAAGTCTCGCGACACAGTGCCGGACAAGATGAGGCAGTACGCGCGGAAGGTGCAGGAGCTGCACCCAGGCGCGGCGGCGCCCCATACCCCCCCGCCCCACCCCCTCCCCTCGGCTCGCCCCACCCGCCACCCGCTCGGCACCTTTTCTTCGACGACGCAGACATCGCCGCCTTCATCGCCGAGCGCGAGCCGGCGTGGGTGGCTCAGTACGAGGCGCTGCGCCACGCGCCCGCGGCGGTCCTATTCCCGCGTTAAATTTTTCTTTTATTTGCTCACCACCGCGGCCGCGGCGCAAAAAAAAAGCGGCGCCGGCCACGCCATGCAGCGGACGCTGCAGTTCATCACCGGCGAGTTCACGCCGCGCCACTGCTTCCTGCCCGACGACGAGTACGGCCGCTGTCTCGACACCGTCGTCAAGGCGTGCTCCGACGTCCTCGTGACCGACGCGAGCGGCTCAAAGGTCTTCCTGGGCCAGCGCAAGGTGGAGCCGCAGCCGGACTGGTGGTACATCGGCGGCCGGTCGAAGCCGGGCGAGACGCCCGAGGCGGCCGCCGCGCGCAACGTGCGGCGCGAGCTCAAGCTCGACCTGCCTCTCGAGCGCTTCGAGGTGGTCGCAAACTACTCGTTCGTCTGGCAGTTCCGGCAGCAGCCGCCGGCGGGGAACGGCACGGCTGACATCTCGACGGTGCACCGGCTCGCGCTGGGCGACGCCGAGGTCGCCGGCGCCGTCTTCGACGAGAAGGAGTACGCGGCCACAAAGTGGTGGCCCGCCGAGGACGTGCTCTCGGGAGACTTCCACCCGGCGCTCAAGCAGGCGATCCGCGACGTGCGCGCGGCCGACGCCTTCAAGAGGCTGAGGGAGCTCGTCGTCGCCGGCGGCGCGGACGCCGACGTGGCCACCGCCGCGAGGCTGCTCGTCGAGACGGCCGGTGCGCGCGACGCCGCCGTCGACGCGCTCGGAGGCGCGGACGGCGCGCCGGTCGCGGTCAGCTTTGCGAACGGGCGGTACACGTACCGGAGAGCGGCGTGAGAGCCGAGACTGCCGCGCCTTAGTCGTGGTGCTTGCCGGTGTGAGGACGTCAGTGTCTGTTGATCCGATGTTGGAGGGCGTTTTATGTTTCGTTTTGCGCTCTACTGGGGAGTTGTTTGAAACTTGCTAACAGTAGAGTTGTTTGAAACTTTCAAAAATGTTTTGGTAGAAAAGAAATCTGTAAGCTCTCTCTCTCTCTCCGGGAGCGCGAGGCGCCACAGGAGGGTCGTTGCACGAGATAATGTACATAACAAAGTCGCCCCATGGCGCGCGTACCGGTAGCTATGACAGGGGGCTGGCGCGCAAGCGCCGGCCACCGTCGAGCCGCCGGGGATGCGCCGCGCACTCGCATCGGTTACCTGTATACCTCCATGAACGGCGGAGCTAAGTATTCTCGCGTCCACACCACACCTCATCCAACGTACACACACTACTGTGCGAGCCGCCCTGAAGAACACAATCCTCGCGTTTTTTTCTGCCCGCTCATCCGCCTATGAGCACTTACACGTCAGGGCGCGAGCCTTAGCTAAGATACGCGCCTACACGTGCCTGCTCAAGTTATTTTTCCTTTCCTGTGTGCCCGTGATCTTCGCCTACATCTGCGGCACGCCGTCATGCTCGTGCTCGCCCTCGCTCTTCTCGCGACGCCCTCAACCGCCGCCTCTCGCCCCCGTCCGCGGCGCGGGGGGGCACTCATCGACACGCGCAACCGCACCGACTTCAGCATCAAGCTCGAGACCGACGCACCGTCGCTCGCCCTCGCGGCGTCTGCCTCGCGCAAACCCAACAAGGCCGCGGGGCTCCTGCTCCTCCAATACGTTCTCGGGGGTGGGTGGGCGCTGTTAGGTGCCTGTCCGGACGTCGCCACCATCCATCCAGCCGTCTCCTTCCCGTTCAACCTCTCCAAGTTCAGCGGCGCCGCCTCACGCGCCGCCGCCCCGACCACCCTAAAGCCCATCGGCGCCGCGGCCGACGCCGAGCTCGCCTCCTTTGGCGAGGTTGCCGGCGCGGTCAAGAATGGCGACGTCTCGCTCGCCGACTCCACCGCCAACTCCGTCGGTGTCACGTGCGGCAGCGGCGGCGCCCCTGTGTGGTGCGCGGAGCCGCCGCAGCCGCTCACCGAGCTCTGCGTCTCCGAGGATCCGATCGAGGCCTCGGGCTTCACGAGCAACGAGACGGTCTGCACGACCGCCACGGCCCACTCCAAGGGCGAGGCCGACGAGACGGACACAAAGGTGTGGGACTCTTTCCGCTTTTTCCCACACGGTTTGTTCCGCCGCCCTCCCCCCGCCTTTCCATCTCCGCTCGGGGGTCCTCGCCGCCCCCCACTCTCCCCCCACCACCCCCTCCCCCTCCCGGCCCCCGCCCCCGCCCCCGCCCTCCCCCAGCCGCCCTCCACACCTCCTTCCCCGGCCCCTCTTCGGCGGCCGCCACCTCCCTCCGCCCTCCCGGCCGCCCCCACCACCTCCCTAGCCGCCTTTCCCCCCCCCCCCCCCCTCACAGAACAAGCCTGTCCCGGGCTTCACGACGGACGAGGCGGACTGCACGACCGCCACGGCCCACTCCAACGTCGAGATCGGGATCGGTAAGACCTACCCGACTACCTCCACGCTCAACATCGGCGCCTACGCCGAGCTCGCCCCCCCCTTATTTGACGAGACCTCCGGCGCGACGAAGATCGGCGACCCCTCACTCGAGGAGAGCTTCACGAACGCCACGGCCCTCTCAGAGATCGATGCGGCCTCGCTGCTCTTTCTCCGCTCTTGTGCGGCCGTGCTGGCGCTGCTCCTCGCGGCGTGCCTTGAGCCGCCGTTGCGTGAGAAGAGGGTGGAGCGCAGCAGCCACGCAGCGATCTCCGTACCCTTGCTCTCCAGCACGCGTGCTCTCCGAGTTGGCATTGTGATCTTCTTCCTGCAGGGCGCGCGCGGCATACCAGCGGCGTCACCGATCTCTCCACCACCGAACCCGCCGCTGTCGCCGCCGTCGCCCGAGCCGTCGCCGTCACCCGAGCCGTCGCCGTCACCCGAGCCGTTTCCCGAGTTTCCCGAGCCGTCGCCGTCACCCGAGCCGTCGCCGTCACCCGAGCCGTCGCCGTCACCCGAGCCGTCGCCATGCCAGCCTGGCGTAAACTGCGTCGACGGCCCGTGCTCGCTCACCGACGGCGGCTCGTGCGCCGCGTCGCCAAACTACCCGAACAGCTACGGCGACAGCGAGGAGTGCACCATCAGCGGCGTGCCGCCGGTCGAGCTGGAGACGGTCGCCTTTGATGTGGAGGCAGGCAACGGCTGCCCCTACGACTACCTCACCGTCAACGGAACGAAGTACTGCGGCACCTCGGGGCCGAGTGGCGCGGTGGCGGAGGACGGCGTCATTAAGTGGCGATCGGATGACGTCGTAGTCAGGTCGGGCTGGAAGGCGCGCTCCTGGTCCCTCTCGCTCCCCTTCCGTCTCCTCTCTGACGCCTATCCTCCCTCTGCCGTCAGATCTGCTGGGCGACCCGGCCGCCTCCACCGCCGTACCCGTCTCAAATGGCACCCACTCCACCGCCGCCGCTTCTCCCTGGCGGCTACTTCATCACCGGCCCGTGCTCGCTCACCGACGGCGGCTCGTGCGCCGCGTCGCCAAACTACCCGAACAGCTACGGCAACAACGAGGCGTGCACCATCAGCGGCGTGCCGACGGTCGGGCTGGAGTTGATCGGTTTTGATGTGGAGGCGGGCGACGGCTGCCCCTTCGACTATCTCACCGTCAACGGCACAAAGTACTGCGGCACCTCGGGGCCGAGTGGCGCGGTGGCGGAGGACGGCGTTATCGAGTGGCGATCGGATTACAGCGTAGTCGGGTCGGGCTGGAAGGCGCGCGCCTGGTCCCTCTCGCTCCCCTTCCGTCTCCTCTCTGACGCCTATCCTCCCTCTGCCGTCAGATCTGCTGGGCGACCCGGCCGCCTCCACCGCCACCAGCGCCGCCTCTACCGCCTCCACCGCCTTCACCGCCATCAGCGCCGCCTCCACCGCCTTCACCGCCTTCACCGCCAGCTCCGCCGCCTTCACCGTCATCACCGCCAACACCGCCGCCGCCGCCGCCGCTGCCGCCGCTCTCCCCCGGCTTCGATGTCGCCGCGGCGAGCGAGGCCGAGCTCCGCTCCCTGATCACGGAGGCTGCTGCTTCGCAAGCCAACGTCTCCATCTACCTGCCGCCCGGTGAGGACTTCAAGCTGGGCAGCCAGATCAGCTGCACCTCCACCATCAAAGTGACCGTCGCGAGCAGCGGCGAGGGCGCGACGCTCGATGGCCAGGGAGAGACCGGGCTCTTTTACCTCGAGGGCGGCTGCAGCCTCACCCTGCGGGGGCTGACCCTCGTCAACGGGAGGGCGTGGGGCGGCGGCGTTGTGGAGGCGAGGCGCGCAGGCGACGTCGAGATCATCGAGTCGGTCGTGAGGGACTGCTCGGCTACCTATGTGCGCCGCGTAGAGCTAGCCGCACCCCTGCAGCGCCGCACGGCAGCGGGGCGAGAGATGGAACGGGACACGGCTGCCTCATCCCCGCTCTCTCCTCGCAACCGCAGAACGGCGGCGTCGTCAGGGCGCTGCGCAGCGGTGCGGTCTCGATAACCAGCTCGAGCGTATCGGGCTGCTCGGCTGGCAATGTGCGCCGCGTAGAGCTAGCCGCCGCCCTGCAGCGCCGCACGGCAGCGGGGCGAGTGATAGAGAGGGGCACGGCAGCCTCACCCCGCTCTCTCCTCGCAACCGCAGCACGGTGGCGTCGTCCACGCGTACGACAGCGGTGCGGTCTCGATAAATGGCTCGGCCGTGTCGAGCTGCTCGGCTTATGTGCGCCGCGTAGAGCTAGCCGCCGGCCCTGCAGCGCCACTCGGCAGCGGGGCGAGAGGTGGAGAGGGCCACGGCTGCCTCACCCCGCTCTCTCCTCGCAACCGCAGGTCGGCGGCGTCGTCAGGGCGATTAGCAGCGGTGCGGTCTCGATAACCAGCTCGGACGTGTCGGGCTGCTCTGCTGACTATGTGCGCCGCGTAGAGCTAGCCGCACTCCTGCAGCACCGCACGGCAGCGGGATGAGAGATAGGAGGACCACGGCTGCCTCACCCCGCTCTCTCCTCGCAACCGCAGCACGGCGGCGTCGTCTACGCGGAGGACAGCGGTGCGGTCTCGATAACCGACTCCACCATCTCCGGCTGCAATGCCACGCGAGGCGGAGCAGTGTTCGTGGCCTCGGGCTCAGCCAGCCTGGCCCGCTCAACCATCTCCAGCTGCATCGCCACAGAGCATGGCGGCGGCCTCTACTCGGCGGGAGGGCGCACCTCCCTTAGCGACGGCACCCTCATCCGCGGCTGCTCTGCCGAGGGTCAGGGGAATTCCATCTTCCTGCTCGCTGGCGAGGTCTCCTACACCCTCCCCGCCCCAGCCGGCCGCTGGCTGCCAAACGCGCGCTGCGAGGTGTACCGGAAGGCGTGCTCTTACCCTCTGTCGGAGGTGGCAAAGCAAAGGGCCTGCCTCGAGCACCGCGGCGATTGCGCGCTCACGGAGAGCAATGCGACCGAGCCTTCGTCGGACGAGAAGGAGGCGGCTTGCCGCAGGCAGACCGATAAATACAAGGAGGAGGCTTGCCTCGAGCGCGTCGAAGACCCGTGGTACTGCCAGAACGCGACCTTCGTGCAGCCCTGCAACTGGGAGGACGACCCCTCCCTCCTCGGCGATGACCTCTACCAGCTGCCGCTGCTGCCCGTCGATGAGGACTTCCCCTTTGCCTGCGCCGCCGGCCTCCTCGGCTCGGCCGACCCAAAGGAGCAGTCGAGCAGCAGCTGCGCCGGCCGCTGCCCCGCAGGCTCCCAATGCCCCACAGAGGCGACCAATGAGGCGCTGCCCTGCGATGCTGGCCACGTCTGCCCGGAGGGGACGAGCGTGCCCCTTCCCTGCCCCGCCGGGTCGTACTCGAACGCCACCAACCTCGCCGCGCCGGAGGAGTGCACGGCGTGCGACGAGGGCCACGCCTGCACCACGGGCAGCGTGGCCCCGACGCCGTGCTCGCCAGGCAGCAACGCTTCCGGCCTCGGCAACGCTCGCTGCGAGCTGTGCGCCCAGGGCTACTACCAGAGCGACACCGCCGCCGCCGACTGCGTCCGCTGCGCTGCCGGCATGTTTTGCCCTCAGGGCTCGTCGCGCGAGCTGGACGCGCAGTGCGCGGCGGGCACGTACGCCAGGCTGACCGACCAGAGCGGCGACCCCGAGTGCCTCGACTGCCCCGCCGGCGCGTCGTGCGGCGGCGGGGCGGCGCCGCCCTCCGAGTGCTCGCCGGGCTCTTTCGCCGCCACGGCCGGCCTCTCCGAGTGCGCCAGCTGTGCGGGCGGGACGTACCAGGGCGAGTCGAACGCGACGGGCTGCCTTCCGTGCGTGGAGGGCAGCTACTGCGCCGAGGGCGCGGCGGCGGCGCTGCCGTGCGAGGCTGGCAGCTACTCGACCGCGACCAACCTCACCGCCGCGGGCGAGTGCACCGACGCCTCGCCGGGCCACTTCGCCACCACCGGCTCCACCGAGCAGACGGCGTGCGCCAAGGGGTCGTACACGAACGAGGCCAGGCAGGGCGAGTGCACGCCCTGCGCCGGCGGCACGTACCAGGACGCGGAGGCGCAGACGGCGTGCAAGCCGTGCGAGGCGGGCGGCTACTGCGCTGTTGGCGCGGCGGCGGCGCTGCCGTGCGAGGCTGGCAGCTACTCGCGCGCCACCAACCTCTCCGCCGCGAGCGAGTGCACCGACGCCTCGCCGGGCCACTTCGCCACCACCGGCTCCACCGAGCAGACGGCGTGCGCCAAGGGGTCGTACACGAACGAGACCAGGCAGGGCGAGTGCACGCCCTGCGCCGGCGGCACGTACCAGGACGCGGAGGCGCAGACGGCGTGCAAGCCGTGCGAGGCGGGCGGCTACTGCGCTGTTGGCGCGGCGGCGGCGCTGCCGTGCGAGGCTGGCAGCTACTCGCGCGCCACCAACCTCACCGCTGCGGGCGAGTGCACCGACGCCTCGCCGGGCCACTTCGCCACCACGGGCTCGACGCAGCAGACGGCGTGCGCCAAGGGTAGCTTCGCTGTCACGGGCGGCCTCTCTGAGTGCGAGCCGTGCAAGGGTGGGACTTACCAGCACGATAAGGGTGCGACGGGCTGTCTCGTGTGCAAGAAAGGCAGCTACTGCGAGCTGGGCGCGTCGGCGCCGCTGCCGTGCGAGGCTGGCAGCTACTCGAACGCAACAAACCTCACCGCCGCGGGTGAGTGCACGGCCTGCCCCGCCGGCAGCGCCTGCTCCACGGGCAGCATCGAGCCGACGCCGTGCTCGCCTGGCACCTTCGCCGCGAAAGAGGGGCAGTCCGAGTGCGAGTCTTGCCCTCCCGGCACCTCGTCGGGTCAAGGCAGCATCGCGTGCGACGAGTGCGTGGCTGGCAAATACGCCGCCAACGCTGGCCAAAGCCTCTGCAATCTATGTCCGCATCCCCTCAGCTCGGTCAGCGGCAGCACCATCTGCTCTATCTGCATGGACGACTACTACCTGCGGAACACCTCGGCCGACCCAGGGGACATGTTCACCTCCCCGACCGAGTTCTGCAAGCCCTGCCCGCCGAACGCTGCCTGCCCGGACAACACCACCCTTTCTTCCCTCGTCCTCCTGCGCGGCTTCTGGCGCGCCAGCCCCTCCTCCGCCGTGCTGACAGAGTGCCGCCTCTTTGGCGGCAATGCCAATGCCGGCAAGACGCGGTGCGCCGGCAGCGAGCCGGTGGCGAGAGGCCGGAGGATGGTGGAGGCGGGCTCAGAGTACTGCGCTTCGGGCTTCAAAGGCCCCGAGTGCCAGCTCTGCGCCGCAGAGAACCAGTACCTCGTCGATGGCGTCAACTGCAAGGAGTGCGCTCCGCGCGGCGCGGCGGCGGGCCGCATCGCCGGCCTCGTCCTCGGCCTCTGCGTCGCGTGCGGCTTGGCGGCGTGGGCCTACCACATGCCGTGGCGGAAGGAGCGCATCATCGGGCCTATCCTCCGCTTTGCAGACCGCTCCGTCAAGTACTACGTCGGGGGCGGAATGACGGCAAAGCTCAAGATCCTGTTTGGCTTCTATCAGATCAGCACCGTCCTCTCCTCCACCTACTCCGCGCGGCTGCCGGACAAGTACACGGGCTGGACGGACAACTTGGCCAACGTGATCTCCGTCGACTGGTCTGGCTTTTTCCTGCCGGAGCAGTGCCTCGGCTACGCTCTGCGGCTCCTCGCCATCGCCCTCTCCCCCGTCGCCCTCATCGCCTTGCTCATGATCGCGGGGATAAGTCTGCGGCTCTACCGCTGGAGCGCCGCCCCGGCGCCGCGCGAGAGGCCGTGGTACGCGGAGGCGGCCCTCGGCCTCCTCGACCTCACGCCGGCGGGCCTGGTGCTCATCTTCTGCTTCGTGCCCTCCATCAGCGCCTCCATCTTCCGCTCCTGGTCGTGCCAGGCGCCCTCTCACAGCTGATGACTGCCGTTGCTCACAACACCACACCCCTCAGTCCTCGTAAGTTTCTGCTGATAGGCCTACACCATCTCTCCGCCCGGCGAGGAGCTAGAGCAGGTCTCCTACATGCGGCAGGACGCGAGCGTCGAGTGCGGCTCCGACGATCACGGACCCATCACCGCCCTCGCCATCGGCTTCATCGTCCTCTGGCCCGCCGGCTCGCTGGTCCTCTTCACGTCGCTCCTCGCCGCTTGCTACAAGCCGCTGCAGGCCAAGACGCCGAATGCTCTGACGCGGGCCACCGCCTTCCTCCACCGGGAGTACGAGAAGACCTGGTACTGGTGGGAGGCGGTCGAGCTGGCGCGCAAGCTCGTGCTGACTGGCTTCGTGCTTCTGATCCCGGAGGAGCGCGCCTTTGTTCGCCTTGTGGTGGCGACGCTCATCTGCTCATGCTACGCCGTCGCACTCGCCGTCGTGCGGCCGTACAAGCGGGTTGAGGACAACGTCATCGCCGTCGCCACGAGCCTCGTGCTCCTCCTCCTCTTCCTCGGCACCAACTGGAGCACCATCTTCCTCGGCATCCAGGAGCGGTACCAGGAAGCCGACCCCGCCGATGTCCTCGGCTTCCGCAGCCTCAATGTGATTGTCGACTCGATGATCATCCTCGTTGCAGTCGTGCTCGCCTTCTTCCTCGTCGGCGCCATCATCGCCGCCCGTCGCGTCGCCAAGGTCCCCACGATCCGACTCGTCTCGACCAAGCAGCCCCCCGAGCTGAGCATCGTGAGGGGCCTCACGTGGCACCTCTTCAACAGCCACATCTGGTGAGTCACGGCTATGGAGGGAGAGAGGGAGCGAAAACAGCCGGCGTGATCCCCGCCCCTCATCCAAACGAATAGGTCGACCGGTCAAGACGCCGTCAAGGTCATCAAGGGTGAGCTCGAGCAGCTGCTGCCGGACATCAAAGTCTTTCTCGACGCGCGCACATGCTCATCAGCGCTGCTTAAGCTACACACAGAGCCCCCCTGACGCACCGCGGTGTGCTCATAGGTAGATGATCTCAAGGATATCGGGGCGCTGGAGGAGTACATCCAGAGCTCGCAGGTCATCCTCTTCTTCCTCTCGCAGGGCTACTTCCGCTCCAAGGCTCGCCTCTTCCTCCCACCCCGCCTCTACCGCACCCTGGCCCCAAGATCTGCCGCCTCGCCCGCGCCACAGAACTGCCTCCGCGAGGTCCGCTCGTCGCTCGAGAAGGACAAGCCGCTCGTCCTCGTCCAAGAAGCGGACCCTGAAAAGGGCGGCGGGACGCTCCAGGCGCTGCGCGGCGAGTGCCCCGAGGACCTGCAGCCGGCCATCTTTGACAACAACTGGCCGCTCACGATTTGGTATCGCATCGATGAGTTTCAGCTCATCTCGCTCAAGATCATCGCTGAGGCGCCGCCGGCCACAACCAGCTCCGTTCTCTCACTCTACCTCCCCGCCAACCCCACTTGAACCAACCTAGGCGGTGCTCCTCTGCTCGCCCAACTTTCTGGACAGGACGTCCCTCCCGCTCTGCGTGTCGGGCGAGCTCGAGAGCCAGTCGCTCGCCTTTTCCAAACCGTGCACGCTCTGGGCCTCGCCAGCCAACGCGGGGTCGCTGGCGCTGGCCGATGAGATCGCCGCCGCCTTTGCCCCAGATCGTGAGACCGCCGGTCTCACGATCTGCACCACCGATGATCGGCCGGCCAGCGCGACGCACTTGCTGCTCTACCTCAACGAGGACAGCTTCGTCAGCGACGAGCGGCTGGCCGAGCAGGTCAAGCAGGCGCGGGAGGACAAGCTGAAGATCGTCATGGCGCACGAGAACGACCCCGCGCTCGGCGGCTGCCAGTTCTCGAGGTTTTTCGAAGTCACGCCGCAGGAGCGAATGTCTCAACGTGGCGCCTGTCCCGCCACCCCTCCTCCCCCCCCAACCCTCTCCCCCCCCCAACGCCGCAGGAGCTCATCGCCGGCGGACTCTACAAGGACCTGGCAAAATCCTGCTTCCCCGGCCACCACCGCAAGGCGCGCGCCCTCTCCCCCACAGCGCGCTCTCCCCCGCATCGAGCGTTTCGTGACGAGGGGCGGGTCCCTGCCCGCAGGTGTCGCTCGTCCTTCTGGCAAAGAGCCTAGGCGCGACCCCCGCTCGGTCGCGGGCGGGCCTCCTCGCTTCAGGCAGCGTCGTTGAGGGCAGCACCAGTCTCGCGATGCGCAGCCTTGGCGGACTCAGCCGGGTGTTCGCCAAGATGAGCAGCCGCAGCTCTGCGGAGGCGCGCGAGGTCTCTGGAGGCGAGGCGTCGTCGGTGCAGCAGCAGGTCTGATCGGTTGCGCGATGTCGTGCGCAAAACGTGCGGCGCGGCGATGACCTGCAAACACGGGACGATTAGTAGAGCTAGCTCGCACATGGAGCATTGCGTTGGAGGGAGGGGGGGGAGGGGGGGAGTCACATGTGACGTGCGTGTGCATGTGCATGCGCATGCGCATGTGCATGTGCATGTCACGTCTACGGGCAGTCCGGATGGAGATTATGATTTGCGTCGTGGGGTTCCTTCCAGCTCTTTCGTCCTGCGCGGCCGAGTAGAGCCGTATCGTGGTGACTGGTGTGGTGCCACTGCGCGCCAGTCCCGTGCCTAGTTCTTTGAGAGAAAATTCTTTTGTATTCGCGTTAAGGGGGGGTGGGGGGCACCCAGAAAGAAAGAAAACAGACAAGCCATCCAGCTTGCCTCAGCCGTGCGGAGTTCGATTTCTTTTGCCATCGGTGAGGAGCGGCGTGCACGGGGGCGTGCCCCGGAGACCTCCGGTGTCGGGAGGGGGCCACGCATGATTGCCGGGAGTGCGTTCCCACGGGGGCTGGTTGTTTTTGGCCACACCTTCCTGTTGCCCACAAGATGATTTGAGAGCGCCTTCGTTGTGGCCCCGCCAAGAGTTTTTTCAAAAAGGATACCCCCAGTATCGTAGTCTTTGTTAGTATCGAGGTCTCGCGAGTTTTGGGGGTTCTCGGCGCCGCGACAGCGCTGCGAGCAGCGCGATGCCACGGCGCTCGGCCTGCTGAGAGAAGACCTTCCAGGACGGCAGTGACAAGTTACCCGGGAGTGATTCTGAGATCAGGTTGGGCGACTGGCAGACATTTCAAAATCGAGGAGCGCTAGCGACGAGCCCCAGCGCCGGGGATCGGGGCCGCGTAGGCCCCGAGATTTTTTGGCGCATTTGTCACCACGTTGTGATCATCCACGTCGGCGAATTCAATCTCGCGCTCGCCGTGCTGATCCTTGATCCGCTGGCGCTTGTCCCATTTGTGTTTCGTCGTTCCCCTGACCACATCGCTCCACAGCGGCCCCGTCACCCCTGCCGTGTGCGACCCCCCGCCGTGAGCCCCTCGCCGAGCCGTCCTCGCACCCACTCGTTCGTGTGGCCGCGTGTATCGTAATAGGTCCTCCGGTCCAGTACCTCTCCCCTCCACTCTCCGTCTGCCGTCCTCTGACGGTCCGTGTACAGGCACGGGCGTGTCCTCACTGCTTCACGGATGACGGCGGTGGCATCCTCAATCTCGCTGGCCCCCATGTATGCCGTCGCCGCGGCGTCGGCGTAGGCGTTGCTAGCGCACCCCGCGTGGCTCCCACAGCGTGACAGATTCGAGCTGGGCGCGATATCTGCATATCCCCTCTAACACTCCTCCTCTGTCCCATTCCCTGAGCCCCTCGAGAGAGCCTTTTCGGTACGCCGCCTCGATCTGCTGTAGCGCGGGCTTGCAGTCGCTCAAGACGAGGCACCTCCTGTCCGCCGCATCCTCCGCCGTTGCCATCTTACGCAGGTAAGCCAGCACCGCGTACATTTCCGCGTCTATCACCTGCCAGTCGTCTGGCAGTTTGCCGCCCCACAGCCCCTGCCCAAACGCGAGCCGCAGCTCATCGTCCCCGCCTTCGAGCTGTCCAGATCCCTCGACGGGTCTCCCGAATCGGGCCGGTCCTTCGTACACCCCATACGACACAACTGGTCGCGGCACGAACCTATCCCCCACCCACTTGTTTGGCATGTCTCTCCCTCCATCCGTCGCAGCGAGGTGCGTGAAGGGCCGCGCTCTGTGCAGCGCGAGGCATATCCTGGCAACCTCCGCGTTGAGCTCACGGCCCTTCTCCGAGCCGAGCGGCTCTTTATCCTTGCCCATCATGACCTGCGTCCCGTTTCTGTCGGACAGCGCCCGTGTCCCGACCTCAAACTCGTCCCACCGCAGTAGAAAGCGCGTAAGCGGATCCTCCTGGAGTTCGGCGTCTCTTACCCACGCGCCGTGCCTCGGGGGCGAGCCCTCCATCTCTCCCAGCCCCGGCACTACCCCTCCCACCTCATCGCGTGTCGCCAGCTGCGGTCTCGCTACTCCGCTCGGCGGCTCTTGCTCTTTTAGCTCGCACTGCTGCCGGTATCCGAGCGCCTCCTCACTCGCACTCGCCATCTGTTCCGCCACGTCGCCGGCGTCACTCCCTCTCTTGACCGCTACGACTATACCGTCGTGCTGCAACGACAGCACTGCGTGGCCGTTGCGCGTGGCCCAACGCACGGTCGCCCTTCGGCTGATACTCTCCGCCTCCTGAAAGGCGAACGACTTGACTGTGCGTTCCGGGTGCCCCTTCCCTGGCTTGTGGTGCGCAAGCCAATCCGTGACAAAGCGGGTCATTCCCGTCCTCTCCTCCAGGCTATTGCTCAGCCAGAGCGTGCCCTCGCGGCTTGCGCCTGAAGGTACGCCCCAAGGAGCCTCTCCGCCCTCAGTGCTACCCTTGTCTGCTTCAGTTTGTCCTTGTCCACGGGCGCGACTAGTCGCGCGAGCGTTTCCAATTCTCTCGAAAACTCTTACCTCTCCAAGTGTGACGGCGGGACAGGTCCAGCGGAGCCAACGCCAATCCGCGCGACGATGGAGCAAACCCCTCTCCGCACCTCTGTCTGGCGCCGACCGCCGGCGCCCCTATCCGCCGCCACGGCGCGCCCCGTTGGCGGCGGCCCCTCCCGGCCGCCTCCGGAAGACCATCAGCGTCTCGCGGTACCAGTGGATGTCCGAGATGCCCTTGCGCAGCGCGGCCTGCGCCTCGGGGTCGTGGTCGAAGCCGTGCCTGTGCATGTGCATGCCGCGGATGTGTCGTGGACGTGTCGTGGACGTGTCGTGGACGTGCCGTGGCCGAGGCCGTGCCGTGCGCGTCAGGCGTCGGCTATGGTGTTGCTCCGTCCCGAGGAGTCGCTTGCTACTACTGCCTGCGGGCGTCGAAGTCGTGGGCGTGTCGTGGACGTGTCGTGAAGGTGTCGCGGGCGTGTCGCGGCGTGTCGTGGGCGTGTCGTGGACGTGTCGTGAAGGTGTCGCGGGCGTGTCGCGGCGTGTCGTGGGCGTGTCGTGGACGTGTCGTGGACGTGTCGTGGACGTGTCGTGGACGTGTCGTGGACGTGTCGTGGACGTGTCGTGGGGGGGCGTCGTGTGTCGAAGCGCCGGGTCTGCCCATCGCCGCGACGATCTCGGGCCCGATCTCGGCCCGATCTCGGCCCGATCTCGGCCCGATCTCGTGCGATCTCGTGCGATCTCGTGCGATCTCGTGCGATCTCGTGTGAGTGTGATCTCGTGTGATCTCGTGCGATCTCGCACCTCGAGGCAGACCACCCAGTCCGCAGATATGGGGAGATGTGGGGAGATGTGGGGAGATTGCACCTCGAGGCAGACCACCCAGTCTGCAGGGCCGAGCTGCAGCCTCGTGGTCAGGTCTGCGGCGCCAACCAGCCTACGGCGACCCACACCCGCAGCAGTCGCCCTCCCGCTCTGGTCGCCCTCCCCCTCTGGTGCAAGATCCCACGCGCTTGCGCTCGGCCTTCCCTCTGCCCTGCGCGACTCTTCTCGACTGTGCGGCTGCGTGCGAGTGCGCAGCCTTCCTCCCTCTCACGCCCCTTCTACCTCGAGAGCCACCAGAGGCGTGAGAGGGGTGCGGATGCAGAGCTCACGCTCTCGCGGTCCACCCTCCCTGAGACTGGGCCGTGAGGCCAGACCCTGCCATCAGACCCGGCGATGCCTCCTCCCCCGACTGCCGCCATCCGTCTCCTCTCGACTGTGCGGGTGCGCGCGGGTGCGCGTGGTGCGCATCTACCGCCACCGCGCCCTCGCGTCAGCGCAGCAACCTGCGGCGAGGGAGGTGGAGGCGGTGGGAGGTGGAGGAGGTGAGAGGAGGAGGAGGTGAGAGGTGGAGGTGGGGGGGGGGGGGGGGGGGGGAACCCTCCGTGAACCCTCCTAAGCGGCGGTTGGGACCCCCCGGGCTTCGAACCCCCCCTTAAAAAAAACCTTGCCTGCCGGGGGTCAAAAATATTAAACTGTTCGGGAAATCCGGGAAATGTCATGGGTGTGTCATGTCACATGTGCATGCGCATGTGGACGTGTCGTGGACATGTCATGGGCGTGTCGTGGGCGTGCAGTCCCTCGCCCTGAGTTTGCCTCCCGGGATGTACCTACCACGCAGCAGGGACCGGCCGCGGCGGCGAGTGCGTGGCGGGTGGTGGTGGTGGTAGCGAGATGAAGTGTCTACGGAATGGTCTCAAAAGAATCGCCTGCGCCAAACTCGAGGACCGAGCCGCCGTCAACGAGGTGGGCGATGGCGGCGGTGAGGCCGCGGTCGAGAAAGTAGGTGTAGGTCTCGGTCAGCTCCCACGCCCCGGTCCCGATCGGCGTCGCTCCCGAGTGCGGCCTCTCGGGGCACGGCAGGACCTTCTCGCCGCGCATGCATTTGGAGCGCTTCCAGCTGCGGTGGGGGGTAGGCGGCGGGTGGAAGGCGCTGCGGTGGGCGCAGTCGGGCGCGCGGCGCGGGGCCACTCACTCGACTGAGCAGAGCGGCTCAAACGCTGGCTCAGCGGTCGTTGACAGCCGCCGGGAGAGGAGCGAGGATTTGTTCGCGACGGCGGGTTTGTGCGCGTTGCGCGATGCCATCAGCAGCGCTGCTGCCGCGAGTAACGCGGTGCCGATAGTGACAGTGCGCCACATTGCGAAACCAAAACGAGGGGGGCGGCACCAGAAACTAAGACCGGAAAAGAAGAATTCAAGCGCGGTTTCACAATCCGAAATCCCCTCCTCCGACACCCGCCCCACCCCACCCCACCCCGGAAAAGAATTTAAAGGCGCCTTGAACAATTTTACCGCGAGGTGGCATGAAGGTCGCAGCGAGAATCGGCGAGAGACTGCGAAGAGAGATAGGAAGAGGCGGACGCCCAAGGGTGGGCGACGGTAGCGCATCACACCCCTCTCCTTAAAATCCCTGTGTGGTGGCGGCGTGCCGCGTCCTCCCACCCATCCCTCCCTTGGGTTGTCTGTTTTCTTTCTTTCTTTCTTTTGAACAATTTTACGAGCCAGCGAAAAATTTTACTAGCGAACTCCTTCGCAGCGACCGGGTAAGCTGAAACACGAATTGTGGGAGACTGGGTAAACTGGTTTGACGGAAATCGCGCTAAGCAGGAAAATATCGTTCGCCGGGTAATCTGCGAGGCGAATCTCAAGAGAGAGTTTTCGAATCTCAAAAACCGGGTAATCTGAAATTTATCCTAAATTCTTCGATGTAATTCTGAATTCTTCCTCGCAACCTAAACAACAGCCTGCAACAGTGTTAGAGTTGTTTGGTATTGACCTCTCTTTAAACTAAAATCCTTTGGCACACGCACGAGGCGAGGCAGCTAATGACGGCAATACGGCATCAAAATTCTTTTGCCAGAGCCGACGGAGCCGCTCCAGGTGGAATGGTCGGCTGTGCCAACGGCAACTGCCCGGGCTGCCGAATCAAGCGTGATCCTCATAGCTCCAAGGAGGCCGACTGCAGTGGCGATGGGTTTGACCACTACGAGGAGTGAGCGTCCGCCTGCATTTCTGATCTCTCCTCCGGTCTCTAAAGCGCCGAGCGACTCCTCCGATTTCTCGAACACCCATCATCGCCCCTTCTAGGTGGTGCTGCAACTGCTTGCGGGGAGAGTTCAACTGGCGCTACTACGACGATGACGCGTGCCGTCAGTGCAAGGCACGAGCCGACGCGGCGGCGCCACGACCCGCGCCGCCTGCGCCGCCGCCAGAGTCGTAGTACAGTTCGATTTCGCAAGACAAAACAAAGACACGAGACTGAGGAGCGAGACAACAAAGTGTGGTTTGAGAGGTGGCTGGGCCTCACGCCGCTGCCGGTCCTCGCGCCATCGTCGCGGCCGGCGGCCCGCGTGTGCGGAGAAGCACCTCTGCCCCCCGAGGAGCGGCTCGCCTGTTGCGTGGCTGCGCAGCTCGCCGCAGCCGAGTGCCGCGAGGCAGCGGCCGAGCAACCAGGAGGCGCAGCAGCAGCCGCAGAGGGAGCACAACACTGGGCTTCTCCCCTAATAAAATCCCTGTGTGGTGGCGGCGTACCGTCCTCCCATCCCTCCCTTGGCTTGTCTGTTTTCTTTCTTTCTTTTACACTGGGCACGGGACTGGCGCGCACTGGCACTAACACAGGTACACCACGGAAAAGAATTTGACAAGGCTCAGCGGAAAAGAATTTACATTAAACAATTTTACGAGCCAGCGAAAAAAATTACTAGCGAACTCCTTCGCACGACACTGTGGGCACTGGCGCGCACTGGCACTAACACAGGTACACCACGGGAGCCGCCTAAGCGACTCGTAGGGCGGCGAGGCATTTAGCATCTTAGCTCCGTGCACCCGCCCGCGGCCCCCGAAAGAATTCGCGGCCATTTTACCACAAAAGGCGGTCTCACAGCACGATTCACGCGACAGGCGAGGCGCGGGCGACGGGCTTCCTCAGAAGCCTGAAAAGAATTTTAGCTGCGAAGAATGTTCGAAAGAAAAGTCCCTCGTCCGGGGCGGACGGGCGGTGGGCGTGTGCGGGCGCGGGGTTCCGCGGTGTGTGTGTGTGTTAGTGTTAGTGTTAGTGTGTGTGTGTGTGTTAGTGTGTGTGTGAGTGTGTGTGTGTGTTAGTGTGTGTGTGTGTTAGTGTGTGTGTGTGTGTTAGTGTGTGTGTGTGTGTGTGTGTGTGTGTGTGTGTGTGTGTGTGTGTGTGTGTGACGGCGACAAACAAGGGACGCCTTCACCCTTACCAAGGGCACCCCCTTACTACGCGCCAGCATCTAGGCTGTCGAGATTGTCGCCCTCCTCCTCCCCCGAGAGGTTGAATTTCCGCATCACGTCGCGCAGCGCCATGCGGTTCCCCCTTCGCACGCCCGCCGTGAAGCCGATGCACCAGCAGAACGCGCCAACGGCGGCCAGAACGATGGCAGAGACCGCAAACGCGAGCACCGACATGGTGAGAATGGAGAGCGTGGGGCACCTTTCCTCCCCGAGCGCCGCCACGTCCCCCGGGCACGCGTCTGCGCCTCC